ATATGTGTGAAGTTAAACCGCACTGGACCAGTGTTTGACTATGGCGTTGTCACTGACTTAGGGTAGTCTCCGAGCCCCTCAGCGGGAAGGTATAGTGAGCTGATGATAATTAAATTTATCTGTAGTAAAAATATATTTGCGTATACATTTTTTGCACGATCATCGGACGGACGATCGGAACCGGTTGCATATGTACAGTGTCAGTGAAAGTGTATCTCATGGCCGTTGCGTACAGTCAGGGACAAAAGTGTTGAACTTATTATTAAAATAATTGTACATGTTGCCATCTCCTTTCATAGCTTTGAAAAAATAGAGACGGCAATACTTAGTAGTGCAATTCTAAGTTTAAAGAATCGTTTATAATCTTACTAGTATTATAAATGCGAATGTTTGGATGTATAGTATGATGGATAGATGTTTGATAGAAGGTATCTCTTAAACGACATCACTACTATCATTACTTGTAATTTTTTTTAAGTTTTGTTGCGTGCTTGTATACTTGTAGTTGTAATTACTTCCTAAGTTGAATATTATGGGACTGACATGTTCAAAAGAACGGAAGTCCCTAAAAACAATAAAGAGAGAAGAAAAAGAACGGCTACATATCTCGCTGAAATTTGACACAGATGTAGAATGTCTAGAAGAACACATAGGCTTATTCAAGTTTTTTTTTTTTAATTCTGCGCGGACAAAGTCTCGGGCATCAGCTAGTTTAATAATATAAACCAGTGAACGTTCTTTAATTTATTACAATAGTGACATCATTAATAATAATAAAATTTAATTAAAAAAGTTTAATAACAATTTTGTCTGTGAGTGTACATAAAAATCGTTTTCTATTACATAACTAAACCACACGGTCAATAGCTTCATTACAGTTATAATATGACAATAATTTTGTGGTACTTCACTAGTTAACCTCCACACCTGTGAAAGTTAAAACTAACTATAGTCCGACAAACTTAACTGGCCCGGGAATAAATTTAAATTTTACTATCTTTATAATCTTACAAATATCTTATCTTACTATCTTTCTTCTTACAAATAATATAAATGCGAATGTTTGGATGGATGGCTGGATGGATGTTTGTTTGAAGGTGTCTCCACAACAACTGAACGGATCTCGATAAATTTTGGCATACATATAGAACACAATCTGGACGAACACATAGGCTACTATTATATACTATTATATACTATTTATCTTTTTAATTCCGCGCAGACGAAGTCGCAGGCAACAGCTAGTAACTTTATAAATGTGAATGTTTGAATGGATGCTTTCAAACATCCGGAACATAAACGGATCTCGACGAAATTTGTTTTTTTTTTATAGTAGAAGGGGGCATACGAGCAACGAATCGCCTAATGTCATTTGATACGACGCCTATGGACATCCGCAACGCCAAAGGAAGAGGAGATATGGAAGAACACATCGCCTAGTTATGTTTTTTTTTAATTCCGCGCAGACGGAGTCGCGGGATAGTAATAATTAATCATGGACGGAACGGTAGCTTAGCAGCGTTAGTAATGTTGAATATTCCATGCCTAAGTAGATTTACATATTTTCATATAGGCAATAGCAGCGCTTTTAAAACCAGATAAATCGAACTATAATCTATTTTAAAACAACGTGAAGTTTTTTAACATTTTCACAACATAACCTTGCGCCCACGTTAGGCAGATAACGAAATATAAAAACTGGTTGAATAAAAATTAAATAAATATTTAAATACATCTCGTGCAATATCCTCTAAAGGCAGATTGCGATGGTTTCGGATATATTAATAATTTAGAAAGATTCATATTACCTAAAGATGACATATGTCAAATATTTTATCGCACGATGATTGTAACAGTCAGGGGGTGGAAACTTTGAAGAAGGACGATTTGTATGGAAAGTGGCGCCACCTTTTAAATCTTGGTAAACATCATTTCATCTCATGGCTAAGTTTGTGTCATCGAGACATTCATGTGTCATCAAACCGCTACGTTTTTTCGTATTTCTATTTCTGTTCTTGTATTCTTAGTTAAATGTTGTTTCATTCATTTTGTTTTTAATTAAAATGTGTTTTCGTGAAAAATAACGCTGTACGCAACTGTGTTTTAGCTGGACTGCTTATGGTAAGTTCCAATTCAATAAAAAATTTCATGTTATTCCCATATGTCAGACTCATTTAAACATTTAAATATTTTCGTATTTTGGTGTAGTTTTTAGCACCACAGTGATTTATCCTTTCCGGTTATCATATTGAATGGTGCCCTACTTCTAATACATTTTACATATCAGTTCCTATACTTGATAGGAAATCACATTCTGTTTGTTTGTTGTAGGTGCACATATACACGGTTTCCCCCTTCCTGAGAGACGGTCAGTGATGTTCAGAAAATGTGTGCCAATCACTGGAATTATAGAGCCATAAACTGATGTGTCTGAAATTAGTAGGTGGGTCCATGTGTGTATATGTAAAAAATATATTTTTTTATTTGTAATTTTTATTGTAAAGAAAAATTTGCTTGCCTATGTTGTAAGAGAATATGTTCAGAGTGTTTAAACTCGCAAATAACTACAAATTGCCAGTTGCCAGCTTGCATGTGACTGAAAATATTTTGGGGTTTGGTTTTAATTACAGGGTATGCATTCTTTTGTGACCGCGCTATACTATTTATTACCGTAAATGTAATTTTCAAATATATATATTAAAAATTAAAATATTGAGCTGATATCTTGAAAGTCATTGATGTATATGTACTTGCATAGATTTAAAATTAAGTTATGTAGAAATATATTAAATAATGTACAAAAATATAAAAATATTTTGTTTTTATTTCCCCAATAATAATAGGATCATTTTAATAGAGGTATTTCATAGAAGGCTACTTGATATCGGCTCACTATATTAATAACTACATAAGTGGGTATATTATTTTTGAACATTGATTTAATGTCAATTTTAAATTTATTTATTAGATTCCCACTTATCAGTTATTATTATAGTGAGCTAAATAAGCGTGCCTACGTATATAGGTACTAAAAAAAAAAAAATTAGTTCAGCGATTATACGCATGGAGCGCCACAATCGCCGTGGATCCACGACTTCGTGCGAGTTGCCCCTCTTTCTATAGTATACTTATTATACTCTTTGGTAACAGTTGTAGAGCCCGCTTTAACATCTTCGCACGAATTGTCCCGGCTCGCCCGGTGAAATACCACGACCGCACAGAAGACAGGCGTGAAGTGGAAGCTATTCCAAGTACAGTCTGATGAGTGTGCGTCCCGGAGGCCAAAATTAGTCCTCTTTCCCTTCCCACCCTTTTTCTTATAAGGAAAGGATGGGAATTGGAAGTGGACTTTCCGAATGAGAGGATGCATGTAAGGGAAAATATTTTCTTTCTGTGCATCCTCTCCTCCGTCGATTAAAGGTAGGCAACGCTTATGCAATTGCGTAAGTCTATGGGCAACGGTCACTTCGCTATTTCAGCATTTCAGGTGGACGCTCGCTCGTTTGCCACCTTATGATATAAAAAAAATGTAAAAAAAAACAGCACGACAGCCAAAATGTATTTATTACGTTGCCCCACATCCTTATACTAAAATTTTATACACTGTCCGCGCGGTAAAAAAACTTAATTAGTAGCCTATGTTTTCTTCCAGGCTATGTTCTTTTATGCCGAATTACAGAAGATCCATATGACCTGATACCTTCTAACACCCATCCATCTAAACATTCGCATTTATAATATTAGTAAGACTATTCTATTTGTTATTATTAAAGTAACGTAATCATTTATTTATCATATTCTTAATATATTACATTTCATATATAAAATAAAATATTATACAAAATATATTATATTAAAAATAGAACACCACCGTCTGCGGAATCCCATGACTCAAACAACCAGTGGTCAGGGCTGCAGAGACAGGAACCTTCTCACGATGCGTGCGGTTTCTAGGATAACTGTCTTTGTATCGGGCCCTTAATCCAAATGTTTAAAGAGAGCTTCTTGTGACGACTATCGGAATAATGGAATAATTATTAAAGTTATTTTTATTTTAACAAATTGCATCTTATACGCTACAAAGACTTGACGTAGAATAGATAAAATCTTATCAATTTCCTTGAATTAAACGTATATTAACCGCATCACATTGCAACGTAGTGGCTTTCTCTCAATTGCCTTTCACTACTTTAGTTAAGTAATATTTCTAGAAAGAGTTATTCTAAAAAATATATTTCTTTTACAGATAAAATGGCGCCTTTAACATCCAAATTAGTTACCGCAATTCTATTATTAACGATACAAATAACAACATCAGTTAAATCAAACTCAAGACCTGTATACGAAGTAATCAACGAACAATCCAAAGCTGAAGAGAGGCAAATCAAAACAAGCGCTGTCGCCAACTTACCATACGGAAACCCATTAGCTGACAACTCACAACAGAATGCCAAACTACACGCTTACAATCAACAAGCTATGTTCAACGCTGAGAGAGTAAGGCAACATAAAGCACAAATACAACAACAACAAAGATGGTTAAAGACACCACAATTGGTACATAACTATATGCGAGCTTATCAAGAATCAGAGGAGAACCATCAATTAGCTTTAGAAAAAGAACAAGCTAAAAACGATACAATAGAAACTAAAAAACCAACAAAAGATACAATAAAACTAGAAACAGTCAAGGAAAGGAAAAGAAAACACAGATCGTACGGATCAATTGCATATCAAACAACAAATATACCTGATAATATCATTTTAAATCCTAATATAATAAATAAAATGGTTATTATACCAAAATTAATACAACCACAATATGATACTCATAGTCATCAATCAGTGCAAGATATTGAAACATTAAATTCTTTATTAAATAAAAATCCTAACGTACAATTAACTGAATTCAATGCGTTAATAAACAAACCAAAAATCAATATTAACAATGATAAAGAATTAGAAACACCTATTGATTTATATTATCATTTAAAACCATCAAAATCTTTCATACATACACATAAAGGAAATATAATAATAAAAGAACAAACAGAATACCAAACAGAAGAACCAAGGTACAATGAAGCAGTAACAAAAGAAATAAATTATATTAATAAAGAACTAATAAATACCGACTACATTCCATTATACGAAGAAGATAAAACAAAAGAAGTAGAAGAACAAAGATATCAAGTATATGAACCTATTTATAACCATAAAGAAGATAAAACTGAAGAATTAAACGAAATATATTTAAATAAAGATGGCTCCCGTATGTCAGCATATGATGAAAACGTAAGTATAAATGTAAGACGTAAAAGAACAATACTAGATACAAGTCCATTCCTTTTAAATAATGAAACTAATAAACACAATAACGAAAACATGAATCCTACAGAATTACCTAAAAAAGAATCACTAATAAGAATTAATTTAAATAGTAAAAAGAAACGTGACAATTTTGGTACATTTTTAACTACACCTAACTTTCCTATCGGTGAAGCTATTGATTATAGTGACAATGAATACGAATTTCAAGTATCAAGAAAGCCAAATCATAATTACGGTATACCGGAATACGATCAAGATTATTACGATGATACTTCAAACGATTACGAATTTGAAACACAAAAAATACAACGACAAAAACAATTTAATACTTTCCAAACGTATGCACCATCACAATCATACAGTCATATAAATTTAAAAAGCAATCAAGGAAATTATAAACCTTTAAATCGATTCCATGATATATCAACTACTATAGGACCTGTTTATAGTTCTAATA